GAATGCATGGAACGACATTTCTTTCGGTAAAAACTGATCGAACATCGACGTCCTTCGGGAGGAGCTTCTTCGCAATCCCATTGTTCTTGCACCGCAACGATGGAAGAAGAGTGAAAGACTTGCGAACACACCGATGTTTACTAGCTCTACGATATCAACGCGAAGATAATTTCGAGACGAAAGGAAGAGGCTCCATCGTAGACGACTCAATTATTTATGAACTTTTAAGAGTGTAACGCGAAAGGTAGTGGTGCTCTTAAGGGTTCGTGTTTTCCTATCTGGGATCATCAAGCTGTCGGGAGCGTATCTTTCACGCGTAAACTTCACGGATCGATCCTAGCACCTAGCAGGGTGCCTCTCTACTCGTCCAAACTAAACAACTACATTAACTCGAAAACTCAAACGATTCATTTACGAATGAAAGAAAACACTGTATTCTCCGTTTATACGGATTTTAACTAAATACGTGCCTTGTGACCGCGACAATTAACAGCTTCTCTCTCGTTGATCCGTCAAATTATCCTGAATCGTAAAGTGTAATATAAAAAATAATTCTGTCGTAGCGGAACAAGTAGCCTCTTATACGAACGATTACTCAATTACAAAAGAGATAAGCTCTATTAAGGGAGTACACGAGCACTCTGCAAAAATGGTTCTGTTCCTCGATTGCTTATCTAACGATTCCAAGTAGGCCGGTATCGAGCGAGCGGAAGATGAAGCGTGCAGGTTCTATAAAGCTAATCGTGAACGATAAACAGCTAACGATTCATCGACACCGACAATTGGAGCGCTATGTCGAAATGTAACCAGAGTACCGGAAGTCTCGTGGGTGGGTAGGGTGAACTTTGTCGACTAGCAACAATGTTCCTGTCGCGGCTTAAGGCCTCGTCCACACGATCCCACGAAGCGCACGAATCTTCTCTCGAAAATCACAGCTCTTGCTCGCGCGGTGTTTCAATCTCTCGCTACTACAGTAACGAGAGGGTTAAACGTGCGTGATCAAGAGTACAACGCAAGATAGTCTCGAAGCGGTGGCGAGTGAATGAATTCGAGGAAAAAACGAGTGAAAGAAAACCAGTTTGAGTTAAAGGGAGTAGAAAAAAAAGGTGTGCGAGAAAGAGAGCGTCTAGTCGAGAGTCGACCGCGACGAGGATGGATGAACCGAAGGAAAAAAACGCGCGCTACGAAACATCGAGCGCACGAGTGAATGAATAGAAGAGTCCGAGGAAAGGAAAGGAACGGAAAGAAAAAAAAAAAGGAGGGCAGAACTGGAAGCAGCCAGAGTAAGAATGAATGCAGAGACGAAGAGGCGAGGAAAGAAAAGAAGAGAGAGAGAGAGAGAGAGTGAGAGAGGGTTCGAGCAAGGCGCGAGGAGAACGAGGGCGGAGGATTCTGAGTCAGCTCGATTGGATCGAGTAGCGCCGAGTCAGCGAGCGAAACATCGGCTAACTGCCGGGCGCAAACTACTACCGGAGATCGTATCTATATGGCAACGTATCGTGCCGTGGCACATCGCGCGCTGCCAACTTGCAATAATATGGCCATTCATAATTTTTACGCGGTCACCGCCATTCAGGAATCCTCGCGGCCTGCCGTTTCTTCGTCTCTCGCGTCCACCCCTCGCGCTAATGCGAACGCGAACGCATTCCGATAGGCTAACAACAACAAAGAGAAACGCGACGAAATTGTCCTCAGACCCGTGGCTGAATCGCAGGCCACGCAATTCCACGAATTCCTTGCCGGTTCGTCGGTTCCTCGGTTCGTTCGACCGGAAATGACTGACGGCGGACTTCGCGGTGAGACCGAACCATCCAGAACTAACTTCTTCTGGTACGGTGGTCTCGCTAAATGCCAAATAATCGAGAATTTCCTAAAGAATAACGATAAATAAGTTGTAATTTGAAATTGATCCTTAGGGAGTCTGAGAGTTAATTACCGATCGGTTTTCTTATTGCAACAAACACGATAGAGCGTCGCGGTTGGCATTTGCTTTGCGTCGATGATGTAATCGAGTCGTTGAGCTCTCGACGAAGAAACTGTCGGCCGTAAATACGTACGACACGCGAGCCGTGTAAACTTATCATTAATAACCATAAAGCGCGTTCAGGTGTACTTGTTGTCGGCTTTCGTCTTCTTAATTTCAAGCCGGCGCGGAGCGGCGATTCCGCTGTCCTCGACCAGATGGGGATCGAAGAATTTTTATCTCTTCATCGTTGCAATAACCTCGTCTTACTGTTCGTTCGAATACTCGAGCTCGAAAAATGGTACCGTTCGCGACAGAACAACTTGCGACACCGAACATCAATTTCTTCTGGGCTTGTTTCGCATAGCGCGAAATTCGCGTGTCATCGGAGGGAGCTTAATTTTGGCTGGAAAAAATTAAGAGGCTCTTGCTCCCTCCGAACACGACGACGAGCATGCATTAAATTTAGAACAAGAGGAATTCATATTGGTAATTCTCGTCGCTCGATTTCATCCGAGAGTTTGACGATAATTATTTACAGTTTACTGTTTGAAATATTTTATCAAATTCTGCGTTTATCGTTGAAAATGATCGAAACAGAATAGAAAAGGGCATTTATTGTAGAAGATTGAGGATGAAACTAGGCTTCACGAACGATAGAACAAAGTGTGTGGTTTCTTATCGCCGTTTTTTAGCCGAACTATGACATAATTACGATAAGCAGTGTCGCGTACGTTCTCCTCGAGAAAGTGGCGTCCGATGATTCAAAGACCCCGTCTGCGTGTTGAGAAATTGAATTCTACGATTACGATGGCTCTTAATAATTTTTCTTCGTACAAATAAACGATGGGTGGTAGACGAGATTAAACGCGTCAGGTTGACAGGCAACGGGTGGGCGTTCGAAAGAGAAAAAAAAACTGTGTCAACGATAAAACAACAAGCCGTAACTGAAGTTCTTCCCTTGTTTATTTAACTCTGTTATAAGGAGAGTAATACACATAGATAATAGACCATTAGTTTTTATCGACACTTTAAACAAACACGATACGGAGAAACGATTCCGTTTTCTGTTTCGTCTATGAATAATAGCGATTGTTAAGTTTTCAATTGTCTATAATGTGAAACATATTATTGTATTCCAATCAGTGTTTCTATGTTGTTGAAAATCATCTTCCAATTAATGTTGAATGAAAAAGAAAATTTCTCCTTATAACATCGTTTATCTTTCTATCAGAATAGATAATTAAAATGATCATACTTCCAAGATTGAACCACAAGAACATTATGAAACAACCGTTCCAACAATGCAACGATAGAGGTGTAAAAAGCTTGCTGATAGTAAGACGAGATAATTATTCTAGCAGGGCGCAAGCTCTTCGATCATTTCGGAACGTTGCTTTAGGCGTGGCAACACATGTTCTCAGCTCGGCGCTATGCACAGCGAATAGGTATGCACCAACAGCAGCGTAACACCTATATGCAACATGTCAGGACACGTGGTACCGAATCTCTCAGGCTTGCCAACGGCTATCCATTTTCCCTACGAACAAGATCCCACGCTACAAATTATCCGTTGCGGTTTGCAAGACCGAAATGAATCGTTGCAACCGTTCAACCTGCCCTCGCATCTCATCACGATTAATGTCTTCAATTGAAACTTTCCATTCAACTTGAAATTTTCATTAATTTTTTTTTCTCACCCCACGTTGGAAACTTCCCTCTTACGATCAAACTTTAAACGTTCATTTATTCCTATCCAAACGAATGAAGTAGCGAAACTCTGTTCGACGAAAAAGTGCAGTTGCATCGCGTGCAATCAAACGATCGTAACTCGAAGGAGCGAAGATGACTTCCTACTTCTCGGTAGATCGTAAAAGTGCATCCGCAACGATAAAGACGATATCCGTTTTCGCGGTGTATACCCAACGGCATAAACGATTCATTCGCCCGGTTAACCGTGACATATGGTGAAATCGCATACAGGAAAAGGAACAGATAGACACAAATAGGTGAGAGCCTTACCACCGTTGAATACATTTGACTTTCAAACGGTTCAAATTATATCCGGATTTATACATCTACTGGCCAGACAACGATCACGATTTTCATTTAACACGCTGCTTCCACCAAAATCACTTGTTCGACATCCTTTTATAATTAAACAGAAGCTGCTCTTTCTTGGGTTTATTGGAATTTCAAAATTTCTCATCAAATTCTAAGATACTTTCTTAGAAAACTTGCAATCAGAATCACATATAAATTTCCCCTGAAATATTTTTTTTCTCGAATCACTTTATCTTTTCAAAAACAACTCGCTTTGATTTCCCCGATAGAAATAGGCACACGTAATTCATCGATAGATCTAGCGGTAACTGTTTACAATATTTCAATATTACTTTTCGCTTTTTTTCCTACGGGTTTCAAGTATTATGCGCTTGTACGTGCCTCGTATATTTTCTTAGCTTTCTATGTTAATCAAACACGCCACGATATTTCTTGATCGTAAGAAATAGAAATTAATGAGATGGAAAGCAACGCGGACGAATAGCCTGTGTTAATAATTCTTGGAACTTCGTGCTTCTAACGTTCTCTAAACTTTTCTTTCTGCACATACAAAATATGTAAAAACAGAAGAAAGTGTTTGAAAGATTTATAACTAACATATATGGCCTGAGGAAAATCTGTAACTTAAAATTTGGCAAAACTTGGAGGCAACCGTATGGATCATTACTATCCGAGTAGGTTCAATTCAAGATATATTCTGAATAATTGCGATTATAATTTGATATACTAGAAAAAGGCATTTTCAACGCGGCGGTGAACGTGTTACCGATAACGAGGCAAAAAGTTCACGGAACCAGCTGATTGAGATTCAATCACGGTTGATCGATGTCAACGAAAGGTATCGGAATCGAAGGTACATCCATCACCGATGTGATCGCATGCACTCGGAGACGCTGCTACGGCAAAATTCTGCAGTGAACGATCACGGGTTTCGAGCGGTGGAAGTTGGGATAAGAATGATCGAAGGACTCACCTGTAGATTTGGCGATCCTCGAAAAGAGAACTGTGACATGATGTGTCGGCCACTCAGGGCCGTGATAGTCGAGCGCCGCTACGCGTTCATCCTTTCATACCGTGACATCTGTGTTGTGTTTCGGTTTCACCAAGTCACTCGATGGAACAAGTATGTACGAAAGAACACTACCTCTCTTTCCTCGGTATCGTTTCACTGGCAATAAATCGCGTTGGCCGATGATCGACCGAGTCACAAACGATGGACGAAAGAAGATGGAAAAGAAGATGAAAAAAAAAAAGAAAGAACCGTAGGGATATCTTTCACTGTCGCGCGCGTTTTATTGCACCGTCTAGTACTCGATCGTACTCGACCCTGAAGAAGGTCTTCTTCTCCAGTTGGTATACACTCGTCGCACTGTCACAGACTCGTAGGCACAAAAGCGAGAGGGAGCAGTTTACCGATCTCCAGACCACAAGGCAACGCGACGCAGCCACCCGGTGCGGACGACACTGTCGGTTTCGTGGAGGACTCGTCTTTCACGGCTGGCACACCGCGCTGACAACCGTAAGTCAACGGAATAGAGTTTGCACACTGGTTTCACTACTTGGTATCGGTCGAAAGGCGATGATCGTTTTGTCCAGGTGGATCGGACGACGTCGAGTGCGGCGTGATGCCTATTAACTAATTACACGGTAAAGGCTTGAGAAAAACACGTTTAGTCACACGGTAATGCGTGGTACCATAGCAGCCGGTGGATGACGATTTCGTGTGACCAACTTGCACACGCCGTTGATCCGATCGACGCGCCAGCTATGATCGGTCGCGACTATCCTCCGAATCGTCGTTTCTTTTCGACGGAATCCAGTCCTCCGCTTGGCGGATAGGAAGGCGGAGGTACGTAAGCGGCTGGTGCGACGAAGAAAGCACGATGCAGAGGGAGAGAGAGAAAGAGGAAATGAGAAAGCGAGAGAGAAGAGAGGGAGGAGCGAGCGAGAGGAAGCGCTAGAGGGACGGACAGCCGGTGAAACGAGAGATAGAGAGGGAGAGAGTGGTAGGTCGAGAACTCGAGCGATGGTGACGGAGGAGAGACGTTTGTGAAAAAGGAAAGGCGAGGATCGACTTGTTCGCGCACACCGTTCTTCTTCTTCTTTTTTTCTTTTTTTTTTTTTTTCGCCTCGATCCGTAGAATCCTTCAACACTGCGGACTGGTTCGCGCCCGGTGTAATCACAAAATCCTATAACCCGTATTTATCTTGTGTTCCTTTTTTACTTTTTTTTTTCTCGTAAATGAGGAGTTTGATTCGATCACGATTTTCTTGACTCACGACGAGTTGTAAGGTAACACTACACCAAGTGGTGCGCACTCTAAACAACTAACTACAAACTGGCTCGGTTCACACGTGCATAACCCCTCTCGGCACTTCTGTCTTCGTCCTCTGCGTGTGATTCGCGCGCGTGTGCGTCCACATGTATGCATACACGTTCTCACTGGTATTTAGAGGGGGGTACCGAAGAAGGAGAGCCGCGTGCCCATGCGACCACCGCTCGGTCCCTCTTTGTTCCAACTTGGCGGAAACTTCTTTTTTTTCTTTTTTTTTTGCTTGCGCCCGTGGCAAGATTAGGTGTAATCGCTTGTTGTTCCTCCGGTACAATTCACACGCGCACTTTTATAAATCGTCGTCACTGACATCGAAATCGAAATTTCAATCGGTTCGACGATCGCGGAACACGAAGGCGAGGGACGTTGGATGCTGTCGATAAGAAGCTGTTGGTAGTAGCGGCTTCCTCGAAGGAGCGTAGAAGCCGATCGAAATCCGTAAGTTCTGGTATCCTCGTTCCGCGAGATGACGGTTGATCGCGGTGTAGGAGGAGGCGGCGGTACAGTGACGGTGACGGTGGCGCTGGCGATAACGATGGTAGTGTGCCGACGGTGGTGGTGGTAGTGACGACGAGAAACGGTCGGCTCGACAGTGGTGGTGGCAGAGTCGTCGCCGTAGTTCTTTTCCTTCCATGGAAAGGGGGACGATTTTTGCGAGATGGTTTGCCCTCGTTGAGACGGGTGGGAGGGTCCAGGCTGGCAGAGCGCGTGGTGTGGTGGGGGAGCTGGGTGCCACCTCTGTTGGTGGCTGATGATGCCACTACCGGCACCTCGTAGCCACGCGAATTCCTCTACCGCACTCTGCTAGTAGGCCGAGTGTTCTCTGTGTAGTTCTCTTCTCTCGGCGAGTAGTCAGGTCGGCATCTTCGTAGATCGGCCACGGAGCCGTACGCCGGCGGTTAGCGTCGGCAAACGCGACAATAAAATATGGTGAGTCGCCCGTGGGGCCAGCTAACGCGCTCCCTGCTTACCCCCTCTCGCTTTCGCTCTCGCGTTCCTTCTCTCTCTCTTTCTCTCCTTTTCCTCTTTCTGTTTCAACGTCTCTCTCTTTCACAATACCTTCCGATCTCTTCTTCTCCCTCCATCGTACACGCTCCTCGTCCCTCGTGACGCCCCACCGTCAACGCTTTTCTTCCCTCTTCGTTCGACTTTCGTTTCGTGGAGGGGATGGGTGCTCGAGCCAGAGGGGGCGCAACCGGCCGAGATGCTGCCGTTGCCACCGTGTTGGTTCTGGTGGGGTCAAGGGAGAGGTAGGTTGCGTTAGGAGGGGCGAGAAGAGGAGGCAGAAACTACACGACAATTTTAGTTCGATAGATCCCGAAGTTTAGCCTCGGCGGCGCTGCTTTACTTGCCGCTGACTTCTTCCCGGTAGTTTGTTCGCTACCCTCTCTCCCCTTCCTATTCGCTTCTCCACCTCTTTCTTCGACACGACCGCACACACTCTGACGTGTCTCCCCTCCGCTGTACTTCCCACTCTCTTTCTTTCTCTTTCTACCTCTTCTCCTTCATCGTCGTGGCCGATCGTCAACTACTTCGTACCCCTTGCTTATACACCTCTACCCCTACTTCCTCGAGATCCTCGGTGCTCTATGCACACAACGCGACACTTGACTACACACCACCTCCCTCTCTCTCTCTCTCTGTCTTTAACTTACAATTTTCCTTTTTCACTCTAATCTACCGTTGCGACGTCTTTCTCGCTCCACACTTATACAGTGGATCGCACGATCACTGTACGACGAACGTATTACACGAGCACGTTTACGCGGCATAAACGCGAACCGGCAGTTTAATGCGGCGACGATGCGTAGATGTCCCATCGCCACGTATCGTCGACAATTATTGTCATTGGCTTTCGAAAAAGTCACGACGATGATGACCTCTTTCTTTCTATTTTTTTTTTTTTTTTTTAAATTCTTTTCACGCAGCTTCGATCGAATTTAAAAATGAATCCACGTCGCCGACTATTGTTACGAGCCCCCGCGATTCGAACGGCGACCAACCAGCGGGGTGTACGCGATTGCGGCAACGTGCCGACGATCACTAACAATATACAAGTTAACAACGGCGAGCGCGACGGATACGATGACGACAACGACGACTTCGGCCGTGGCGTCGTGAAAGTGTGTTTTGCGCAGTTCTTTCAAGGGAACTCGCCTCCTCGCGCTTACTTGTCGCCCTCCTGGTGCGACCGCCGATCAAAGGGGCGGGTAGGGGCGGCTGTAGGTGGCGGATCGCGAAGCATAGAGGTTGCGGGGGAGGACATTCGTCGGTACGAGTGGGGGCATTTCGTAGGGGACGTTGGAGATTCGCGGGGTGGGTAGAAAAAAAAAAAAAAAGGTGCACTGACATTTTTCGCCGGCCGGCAGATTGCCGATATACACACCTACCTACGAGAGTACCTGCCAGCGAAGATATTTTTGCCGTTTCGTGGTGAAACTCACACGCTCGCGTTTACCCCCCGTCGCTTAGACGAACGGTATGTAGTGGTGTTCAACGATGGAACGATGGAACTGGAGAAAGAGAGAGACAGGGAACTGGATAAATCGTCCCCTTCCATACTTCTTTCGTCTCCCCTCTAATGGAGCACAGTGGGTGCGGAGCTCGGCTTTTTTCCCCTCCGTGGGCGCGGACTAACCTTGCCCCGCCTCTGCCACCTTTCCCGTGCCCCCTCCACTTATACTCGTAGCTACTAGTACTACTACTAAACCCTTCTGTTCGTTGCCTTTCTCATGGTCCCGCAGTGTGCGCGGCACGTTGAGCTACTACTTCGCGCTCTTGCTCGCCACCGCGTCGCCGACGGAGGAACACGTTGCGGAACAGAGAAGCTCCGAAAGCTTGAGCGAGATAGTAACATACGGCGAGAGGGCACACCGAGATGTGAAACATTATTGTACCGTTTGTTAACACCGCGGTCTACACATAGCCGCGCGCAACCTTTCTCTCTCTCTCTCTCTCTCTCTCTCCACGATTTCTCAGCACCCACCTACTACACCTCGGTGACTTCAAGAGGCCGCTACTATGCGTATATGCTTTGTAAGCTCGCTTGTGCAAGTGTAGACGAGTCGAAATACGCGAGTGTCATTGCAGTGTGTGCGTTCGTAGTAGATATGGTCCCCTGCATATAAAGGATTCTCTCCCTCTTCGTCTCGAGGAAACGTCACACATCTCCCGTGAGCCCCCCTTTTCCTGCTTGTTCTCTCTTCCGCTCTTTGACTCCACCTTAAAAGCCCCTACCCTCTATCCACTTTCTATCCCTACATCGGTGACTTTCCGAGAATGCGACACCGAATTTGTCGACGGCACAGAACGTCGACGTTCCGCTACGACTACGCCCAAGCTTAAGCCGGTGACCGATGTCGTCGCACATCGATTTTCGGATTTCCCCGTCTTCTTGTGCGTGTGCTACGACCTATCAAACCCCGTGCGTCTTCGGAATCGGGAATTAAGGAGGCAACACCAGGGGGAGTAATAGTGGCTTTGTATCGTGATACTCGGCTACCTCCATTCTATTACCGGTTACCGATTTAGTTGGTGAAACAAAATCGTGTCGACAAATTTTCTCGGTTATTATCGCGTCACGATCGGCTAATCAGCATTGAATTATTCATCGGAGTGAGCGTAAAATCAGCTGGGCAACGGGGCACCTATTGCTACTTCAATTCTTTTTTTTTTTTTTTTCATTTCATTCTGAAAACGTAAATCGACGTAACAGTGGCAAAAGAATTAAAATCCAAGAGCTTAAAAATTATAAATCCTTTTTTTTAAATATTTCAATGCACCCCTTATGGTAAACGGTATCGATTAGGCAGCAATTTGTAACAAGTCCGTTTGCAGACACGATATACCAGAGAGGTGTTTTATTATGAACTGTGAGCACTATAGATGTCTCCGCGCTTTGAATTACTAATGCCGTGGATCAACTAACACGTTCAACCGTGGTGAGATGAGACAGTTAACCGTGGTGCGAGACAAGGCATTAACATGTTAATGCGTTCAACACTATAGCCTATAGTCTAGCAGAGTACGTACATGCAATTCATGTTAAATGCATTGGCTGTACGCATTGTTACGTTTCAACTAATGATTCGTACTTTGCGTCGAATTTGAATGTAAATGAAAGGAAAGATAATACGGTTTAATGTTACACGTTCTTGGTGCACAATATATATGTATATTTTAATTTCCTATGGTTTTAAGGTGTTTGCGTTTAACCAGACGAACGGTAAAACGCATAATTTTATTTTCAAACGAATATTTTCCTCATTAATAATGTGTTGAAACAATCTTGAACTTTGCTCGAAAAATACACCAGCTGTAATCTGTTGAAACCGTGTAAAATAAAGTCGTAAAGTAACGCTAATTGAAAATCGTATTAAAAAGCATGCTGTACAATTGTAATAATATAGTTGTACGCGGTTATCGCGTTCTTTATTACCGGATTTCCCTGGAACACGAGAGAACATAGGTTATAAGATCGCGTACAATCGGTATTACAGGCGGCAATAAAAAAATTCTCACAATAAAGCGGCAAGCGAAGGTAGCAACAATGACTACTGTATGCAAGCGTGCGCTAACCCGTCTCCGTATCTGGATCTATCGCTTTGAAAACACGTAAAAACTGTCACGGCGGTAACCTGTAATTACAGATGGTGCACGATATACAATAAAGTGCACGTAACACCGAGTAGAGAAAGTTCATTCGGTGCCCGGTTACCCTACGGACTCGTCGTCCATTGAACCCATAATCATTTTTTTCTAACACGATACACGCGAGTTTAAAAACATGTTAATCTAAATATTCGAAGATGACACGTTTCCTTATCGGTGTCACAATTACGTGATCCCTTTCACATGACCGTAATTGCTTGTTTGATATACATACTCTAAAGCAGATGAAAATCAAACTTTGCTGTACGATTTTTAAAAGAGTATAATATACGAACAATGTGCATGGTCTGAAGTTATATTATTTTTAAAAAAAGGTTTAGAATTAGCAGTGCACAATGGCAACTGTTTTTGGATTTAATTTCATGGAAGAATTATGACGATACAGTAGCCGTTCGATTATTTCCCGCCAGATAGTTGATCGCCAAGAACACCCACTTTACACCCACGCGCGTGCATCTTTAAAGCGCCGAATTATCGGCCGGCTACTGTACTATGATACCAGTTGCGTAGCGTTCTTGCACTTTGGTACGAAGGATCTTTGGTACAAGAAGAGGTTCGAAGTGGTTCGCGAGCAGTCACGTGCAAGGTCGAGGAAAGCTTTTGCACAGGTGGCAGCACGACTCGACGGAGGACGGTTATAGACCCTCCTCGAATGGTACCGTGGCATCGTAACCAACGGGAAAAGTGGGGGCTTTAGGATGGGGCTATTTGGTGGAGGGGGTCTTTCCCTTTCCACTTTACTCGCGGCCACCCCTCTGCTGCTCGTCCCTCTCGCACCTCGAGGGACGGAAGGGGTGGCACGTATACTTTCCGACAATGTGTGCAGCAACGGTTGTCACCGTGTTGAAATACCCGCACTTCGACAGGTTCCACGAGTGAGACGTTTCTAACGCTAGACCACGGTGCAACGAGGAAAGAATCATGGACGGGTTCAGCGTGCACTCGGTAGAGTGCGCGCCCATTGCACTTTTCAATTCGATATTGCACCTTTCTACGGAATGCTCGAGTTCCTTTCGGAGTTCCGAACGGACACCGACGCCGATGCCGCTTCAACGTCGTCTTTTCTTTGAGAACGAGGCTGGTGATCTTGATCCAGTTTGTTGAAATTAAATCATCATTGTAAATGAATTAATAATAAAATGTAATTTTGGTGATGAGACGTCTAACTTATCGAACCTTCCTCACGGCTTCCTTTAGAGGCAAACTTTCACTGAAATTATTTATCTATCAAAGTATCATAAGAGCAAGACTTAACGCGCGGTTTGCTCATAAATCAAAGACGCTGGGCCGCAGGAGATGGCGAGGGCACGAAAAGCCATGGAGGCAAAGCTGAGTGTACTACTTATGGAGCGGAGTGGATAGAAGGCCGGCATAAACTTGAGTGATTAATCTCGCCGGATTGATAACGCTCCCCTCGGTCGTACCCTCGTGCTCCCATAAATTACGTTATAAGGAGGCCCAGGATAATTAATACACCCGCTGGTACATAAGCACGCCGTTGTTGCGCGTAGTTGACACAAGGTGATCCGTGATAGCGTTTCCTGCCCGCCATTGTCTGCAACCTCTTCACCATGAAATTCATTGCGTAAATTACGGAGCAATTCAAATGAATTTCGTGATCTTACATGGATCAAGATATCGCGAGCTACACCATTGGTTATTACATACGCAGAATGGCGTTGGAGTACGATAACTGGTTCGAAATTCAAAAGAAAATGAATTCAGTTTCATCGAGCGGGTTTGCGTAACATCCGCGTCGAGTTAAGAAATTTTCAAATCGAAAGAATTTCGATCGTCCATTTGCCAATCTTGTTTCAGCGATACTTTAAGCGACACAAGTACAAACATAGGTACCTGATAAGGGTTCGAGCAGGATGAGTGGCACGTTTCACGATCGCCGGAACCATCGACGATCACGCTCGTTATCAATGACGGACAGAGTGCTCGTCCATGTTTCGACGTAGATCAAACAACGAATCGACCGATACGCGATATCTTCAAAGGATTTCGGCCGACCCTTTGTCAGCCTATCGCTGATAAATCGGCAATCTGGTTCGAACAAATATGTCCGCACAACGTCGCGTCACAGGTCGTTCCGTTCGTTTTCCTCGCAGATGGTGACAATTACGAATTGTATTCTAGTTTACCAATTTTATCTATGTTCGCACTGATATTCGGCGAGTTCAAATGGGACCACTTTTTAGGCAACAATATTTTTCATTTAATTCTCTTAAACAATGCATAGGTGGAAGCGAATTTCGGCCAACAAGTGGCCAGAAACGCTTCGATGTATCCGATTAGCGTCGATGGAGCGTCTCGATCGGACATCGTGATGCTCGTTCATCAGGAAAGGTGGGCTCACGTATCTCATCGTGCGGCAACATGAAAGATTCCTCGCGGTAGAAAAGTCCCATGTGCATTCGTTCGTGTTTCGTTCCAACCCCATACATC